AAGTCCTCGATTTGGGCTCAGCTGTCCAGGAGGATCTCATGAAAATTAAAAGCATTCAATCACTATCACGAAGCTTCTAGAAATTCCAATTATAGTCGTCCCCCTGAAAATAGGGCACCCTTAAGAGGAAAAGTATTGCTATGGATACAGCTCCCAGAGACGGACAATGAAAATAAACCATAAAATGGACATGTGGGTTAAAATTCCCAGTGAACAATAACTACAGGCCTGTTCTTCTCATACAAGTGGATTTAAAAAAATAACACACAAGTAAACACAACAAAAATAAAAACTGCACCGTTATGATTTACAAAAATGCTTCGAAAGTCAGTATTATAAACATATGACGGGAAGAGTTCTACGCTGTACTGTGAGGTTTCAATGTGGTGTTTAGTCAACAGTTTTGTGCAAAAAAGTGTTTTCACATATAATAAAAATTTGATGACCCCACAAATGTGTTCTATATAGATAAAATTATTATCCAGATTATGAAAATGTGAAATGCAGGTGTCAGGCAGCTTAGCCTAAGAACTTCCTGACTGTGGAACGTTTTTTGTTTGTTTGTTTGTTTGTTTTTTCATTTTTAGCAAATAATAAAACAAAAATAACAACAAAAAGCATTCTATAGTGATAACTATAGATTTCTAAAAGTAATTAAAAAGCTAAGAGTGATTTGAATGCTTAATAATTCCAGGATTATCTAAAATTAAGGAAGGTTATGAACAATAGGTTAAGAAGACAGAGTTTGACATTTTTCATAAGTCAGCTACACGCTAATAAAATAAATGTGGTAAAGAATGTGAAAAATCATTTACTGAATATAAAATATACACTAGGCATGTTCATTTAGATTTTAATGTAACCTTAAACATACTCAAGAGAATGTGAAGATTTTTGGAAAAATCTTCCTGACATTCCACATCCAGGAAGTTCTTGGGCTAAGCTACCTGACACCTGCATTTCACATTTTGATAATATGGATAATAATTTTATCTATATAAAACACATTTGTGGGCTCATCACATTTTTTATTATATGTAAAAGCACTTTTTTTTTCTTCCACAAAACTCACCGCAAGGCCAGTTAAGTGGGACCACAAACAGCACCTGGCATTGCTCTCGTCTATATCCCTTCCCGTAATAAGAAGGGGTTTTTAAATGAGCAGCAGTAACCATAGAAATCAAGGGGAAAATCACATGCAGGCACAGGGTTAGGCACGTGGGAAGAGGGCTTGTTCTGCCTAATGAACAGGGGGTGCTAACAAAGTGATGAGAGGGCATCCTTGCATGTTGGATGTACCGAGAGCTCCTCCTAATGGCACAGCCAAGGAGCCACCAAATGGAGGGCCCCTCCCGGACTCGCCAAGGTTCGTTCTTTCTTTCACAGATGCCACACACCATCCCCCTACATCTGCAATTCTGCAGTCGAGGAGGAGGAAGTGGGCACAAAAAGAACAGGCAGCTGTGCCCTGCAGACCCTAAGTTCCTAGGGGCCTATCCACCTAGTGGAGACATTGGGTAGTTAAGTCTTCAAAGTCACTCTAACATGCTGATGTTGTCAGGCTGAGGAAAACTTCAAAAACCTGCAGTGAAGGCTAAGCATGATCCCTGGAATGCAGAAATGGCACGGAATTACATACGCTTTTGTATCCTAGGTCTGCATCGGGTCATGACTGGTCCTAACCTGTGTAATCACCAAATAAGGTTATCTCGCAACAACTTGCATTTCATCCTCAAAGGCATGTTGTCCTTGACATTCCTCTGACAGACACCCTTGCAGATTATTTAATTTGGCAGATATATTTGGGAACCTCTTGTGGCCCATGCTGGTTTTATGACAAAATGTGTTCAAAACGCTCAGGAATGAAGTAAAATTCTTTGTGAGACTGCTGAAGGGCAGGTACAGCGCAGGGCCATCCGCTCTGCTCCATTCAACTATGCAGTACTGCCCTGCATTCATCTGAGAATAGAATCATCGCTCCTGCAAAGAAATCTCTCCTGAGTTTCTACCTCTTCCATTTTAGAAAAATGTACAGGCCGACCCACTGGCATTCACAGGGTTGGGGTACTAGGAATAAGGCATGGGGAGATTTTTGAGATAGGGTTTCTCTGTGTAGCCCTGGCTGTCTCGGACTCGCTTTGTAGACCAGGCTGGCCTCGAACTCACAATGATCTACCTGCCTCTGCCTCCCCAATGCTGGGATTAGAGGCGTCTAGAGGATTTTTTAAAGGAAAATAATTAAGCTAAGGAAAAGAATGCTTAAAGTAACACGAAGGTAGATGTGTATGAGAAAGGAAAGGAATGGGTGCTGGATCTCTGCGTGTGCAAATATGCAAAGGGTATCCATGACACTGATGTGTGCAATTGACTGCTCCAGTTATACCAATCCATAATCACACGGAGACTCTCACAAACAGTTACACAAACGTGGGTTGAGCGTGCAAGACAGATCCCTGCTCTTCATCACTGGTCTCTCTCAAATGTAAGAGGAGTGTTTTTAATGGACAATTCTGGCTGGAAAATTCTTCAGTTCCCACATGCCTTTCTATTAACACACTGCATATCTTAGTATCTTTAACTGGTCTATGAGACAGCTTGCATTATTCTTTAACTCTACCCATGCATTTATATGCCCCTCCCCCCCTGGACAGATGAGAACGTACAGCCCCAGTCTTTGTTAGAGGTTCCACTATGGCTAGGGAACTGGGTCCTCTTGCCATTATTTCAGCTTTGTTCAGGAAAGGGGGGGGGCTCTCTCTCTCTCTCTGCATTAGCCTGTGAGTATATTTTTTTTTCTCTAAAAAGCCGAGTTTTAAGATGAGTAAACTATGTCTGTCTTACCAAGCATTACAGCCTGCCCTGTTCACCTTGAGTCCATCATTTTGTTTCCTGAATCAAGGCTGTGCCCTGGTTACTACAGAAGTAATGACATCAGACTGCATCACTCATTGGTTTAAAGCCCTGGGTTACCCTAGGCTCAAACAATTTGTGAAACAAGCTTATAAACACTGGCGACAGGCACCTTGTTAGAATAACTGCTTAATGTTAAGTATGAACCACAAGGCATTACAAACAGCTTTCAGCAATTCTTAAGAGATGGGTTCTAAGACAGACTGCCTCACTGCTTTTAACACACAGTCTCCCTCTTCAAAGTTGTTATCCTCTTTCTATTCACTCTCCTAAGGACGGACATTTTTAGTGTGTTCCATCATGCGTGGCTTCCAGATTCATATGTATTTAAGTCTTTGCTCTCTGATACAAGGTCTCTTGTAATCCCTTCTGCCCTTGAACTGTCTGTCTAGTGAAGGACAGCATGAAGCTTCTCCTCCTGCTGCCAGCACAGGCCCAGTCCTGGGATTACAGGCTTGCACCACCACAGCTGATTGATGCAGCTGGAGACTGAGTCCAGAGCTTTATGCAAATTAGGCCAGCACTTTAGGACCTGAACTCCACCCCCAGCTGCCTTCACTTATATACAAAGAAATTTCAGTGACTCTATAAAAAGCAATAGAATAAAATAAGAAACAAGATCCACGGAAATTTAAATTTATTTCTAGTGAATAACATTAATCCCTCTCCATTATAGTAGTTTGTAAAAGAATGGATGAATTGGGCTCAAAAGATGGCTCAGTGGGTGGGAAAAAAAAAACCAAAAAATACAAAACTTGATTCTCCAACCTGATGATCCAAGTTTGATCCCCAGACTCTACACGATGAGAGGAAAGAGATGACTCAAAGTTGGGTAGGTAGGGAAGTAAGGGTCAAGAAGGAAGCTGTGGGCAGAGGTGGGATAATGAACATCATCAAAATACATATGATATTCTCAGAGAAATAATGACATATTTAAAAACAAAGCATATTTAGTCTGTATTCCAGTAATATTGTCTAAAGTATGATTGTCATTTTAGACATGGTAAAAAGGAACCTTTCTTTCTTTTCACTTTCGTCTATCTGCCCATCTGTCTAGTTTAGTCACGACTTCTTACTTAGCAGTAATGCTATGCAACCAGGAGACCAGGTCCTTTGAGTTTGTTTCCCCTGATTCGGAATTCTGGAGGAAACAGAAGTTAGAAGGTATGCTGAAGGTGGTCCCTATTACTGTGCATGCAAACCTCTGAAATCTAAGTTCCTATTTTCCATAACTGTTGACCCAGAATGTGCTTAAAAATCAAAACTCTTGTCAAGTTTAAGCATCTTAAAATTTGGTTTCATGAGTTTTCAGCTTATTAAATCGTAATGGAGAGCTAGAGGGATGGCTCAGAAGTTGAGCACTTTGCGCTCCCTGAGAGGGCCCAAGCTCTATTCCCAGCACCCACATCAGGAAGCTCGCATTGCCTGTAAATCCAGGTTGTGGCAATGAGTGGGAAGTGGCCGATCTGACTTCTCCACATCTGGAAGACTGCACTTGCTACCGAGCCCTGCTGCAGCACAGAGAAGGTCTACTCGTACCCCCCTCTGAAAGCCCAAGTTCACAAAGCAACCAGGAGAGTGGTCCTAAGGGGCAACAGAGAATGGAAAGCTGTCCCAGGGCCTTGATTCTGGTCATCAAGACAGAGATGCTCAAACCAACAAGGAACCAGCATTGGCTGTTGAAACTTGAACTGCAGCACTCAGCAGCAAGCAAGCATGTGAAGAGGGGAAGGGGCAGCGGCAGCAGGAGCCATTGGAGGGACTGCAGGAAAGCAGGAAAGCCCAAGTGGGAGTTTAAAAGTACAAAGGCTGAATCTGGGAAGCTATCAATCCATTAGTATTCTGAATCCCAAATGAACTACTACAAGAATGCATCTGAGTAAAATTATTTGAAAAAAAAAAAAGAATTATTTTGTGGAAAGTATATATTGTGAGAAAACAATTGCTCCTGTGTGTGCTTTCCTTCCTATTTATCCAGAGGAACATGACAGTTACTTCTACTTACTAGGTGTCTCGTTCTGCCTGAAGCTCACTCTTAAGCAAGACAAATAAGGATAACAGAAGTGAATGGAAGGGCCTGCGTTCTTTACCTGAGAAATCAGCGGCCAAGAGGTCTGCTGCTTTTAGAACCTTCACCTGTAGAATACCAATGTCCTTCACATCCTGCAGTGAGTTCTGTAAGGCCTGTGGAGACAAAGGGGTAAACACAAGTAAGAATGGCTTCCTTGTGCCCTTGTCTTGAAGTTTGCGGTTCCCCCGGAAGCCTGTTACAGATTTACCTCCCTCTTACTCATAAAATTCTTAGAAGAGTTGCAAAGCTGTCTTATGTCAAGCACCAGAGCTGTTAGGCATGTATCACAGCCAGATTAGAAGAAAATTGACTGAGAATTAATTAACTACAGCCTCAAAATAAACAAATTAGAAGCCCTCACAATCTGCTTTTAACATCGCCCCCTGGTGCTAACATAGATAACCCACTGGGAAAATGTGTGGGTGGAATTACATTCATTCTCCCCTGCCTTTTCTCATTAACGTAACTTTTAAATCAGCTTTAAAGGCAATATCAAGCCAGCCTTGTTATTCTTATAAACTTTATGGATACCATAGAACTAACCTTCATCCCATCATAAATACTTGCTCCCAAGGAAAAGAAATCATGGATAGAGAATGAATCTTCTCATGTAAGAGTCAACCTGTTCCATTTGTTAAATGAAAAAAAAAAAAAAAAAAAAAGAAGAAGAAAAAAGAAAAGAAAAGAAATGGGCTTCTGGCACCACCCTGCAGTCACATTCTCTTTAGTCTTTAATTAGCACGATCCATGGATTGAGCACATTTACTACAGTTACTTGTGATTCTGAAGCAGACACAGCAGTATTTGGATGTCTCTAAGTACACTGCATGCTTAAAAACCCATGCATCAGGGATAAGCAGGTACATCGTCTAACGCCTAAAAAATGCCCCAAATTGTTGCCATCCTTTTAAAATAGCTAAGAGGCTGGGATAAGCGGGACCTAGACAGTCAGAAGACAACAGTAAAATCCTTGCTACCTGGGCATGGGCTGGTAAACGGCAAAAGCTTAATACCAAATAAATTTAGCCTAATCTCACATTTGTCAGCTCTAAGAAAGGTTGTTTTTGCATATTTTTCCAACCATATTTAACCAACCAGCTAGTTTTTGAGCTATATGGAAGCTTTTGAAATGAATATTTCTATAATGTAAAGGTAGAAATGCTTTCTACAGATCGCTGCTCTGCCAGTGCGATGGGCATGTCTACCTGTAATCCCACTGGTGATATTGAAACACGTGGATTAAAATATGACACAAGCCTGGGCTACACAGTAAGTTCTAGGCCAGCCTAAGCTATACATAAAGACAGTCACACAGTGGACTACTACTCAGGTATTAAAACAAAGAAATCATAACATCTGTAAGCAAATGGAGGGAACTAGAAAAGATCATCCTAAGTGGGGTAACCCAGAAACAGAAAGACAGACACGGTTACACTCACTTATAAGCAGATATTAGCCGTATAATATTGGATAGCCATACTAAAATCTATAGACCTAAAGAAGCTAAACAACAAGGAGCATCCTAGGGAGGATGCTTAAATCTCATTCAGAATAGCAAACAGGATAATCACCAGAAGCGGTAGAGGAGAGGGAACAGGATGGGAGCCTACAATAGAGGGTCCTCTAAAAGACTCCACCCAACAGAGGATGGAAGCAGATGCTGAGACTCACAGCCAAACTTTGGGCAGAGTGCAGGGAGTCTTATGGAAGAAGGGAGGAATAGAAGGACCCAGAAGAGACAGAAAGCCTACAAGGAGACAAAGCTAAAAATCCTGAGCCCAGGGGGTCCTAAAGAGACTGATGCACCAACCAAGGACTATGCATGGAGAGGATCTAGGCCTCCTGCTCAGATGTACCCAATTGGCAGCTCAGTTTCCATGTAGGTACCCAAGTAAGGGGAGCAGTGGCTTCCTCTCTCATGAGCTCAATTGCCTAGTCTTTGATCACTTGCCCCTGGCAATGTTGCCTTCCCAGGCCACAGAAGAAGAGGATCCAGGCAGTCCTGACAAGACTTGATAAGCTATGGGCAGATGGCAGAGGAGAATTCCCCTTTTCAGTGGACAAGGGGATGGGAGGGATACGGAGAGAGGATGAAACTGAGAAGAGTTGAGAGAGGGAGCTTCAGTTGGGATATATGATGAATAAATTGTAAAACAAAAAACAACAACAAAAAAAAAAAACAAGAAAGAAACAGAAAAAAAAAACAAAAACATGCTGAGCTTTTATAGTTACTTAGACAATTTCATCTCATGAACTTCTTTCTGTTCAAATATCCACTTGCATCCACAGAGGCTAACCTAGTCTTCCTAGAAAATGCCAGTGTCCCACAGCAACTTCCAAACACCTTTTTAGTTTTTTGAAACAGCAAGGCTGTTTTTTTGTTTGCTTGTTTGTTTGTTTTGTTTTGTTTTAATGCTAGTCTCCTTTCATGGTTTTGGTAATACATTAACCCCTAGGTCTGTTGTCTTGTTTTATGAGACACAAAATTAAACATGCAACAAAGATCTCTGTTGGTACCTTTTTTTTTTTTTTTCTTCTTCTTCTTCTTCAATGCATAGATTTGGTTTCAACTTAAAAGTCCACATTGGTAGGAGGAAACAGGGAGGAAAGAGGCAATGTGACAAATGCACTTACATATCGCTGGGAAATCTGCTTTCTTTCACCGGGGTCCTCAAAGGGACATAGACAGAGATCAGAGATGGAGACTCCAGTGCAAGGAGTCAGGGTGATCAACATAAGAAGAGACCCGAGGCAGCTCTCCAGAGGTAGTTCCAAGCAGTTGCCTTGCTTCAGTGGGAGTGCTGAGATATCCACTTTACACCTAGAAACGTTTCAGGAGTTGGGGAAAGCAAGAATTAATTCAAGGCCATAGTGAACATCCGTAGCGCCCATTCCACACACATTTCCACATCCCCAAACTTCACTCTGTCTGGACACAGATTATTGATTGGGGAAGGTTGCCAGAACTCACTTGGCTAAGGATACTCTCTCAGCCTAATATGCTCTAAATTAAGGATTCACTTTCATTAAAGAAAATGAAAAGGCAATAACAGAGTATGCTAAAGACAAAAAGATGGTATGTCTTCGCCAAATAAGGCCCACAAAAGGACAGTACAATCAAGAACTGGGGATAAGGGTATCATTACGTGTAAGCAAGCATAAAGAATGAGTTTTCCCTGTCTTCTTGGCCCTGACTAAAGGATCAGAGTTTGCATTCAGCAAGAGAAAAGTCAAGACAATCTCGTGTGGGGGAAGAGGGAATGCAGAAACCATTCTATTCCCAATTGATTAATGCCAACTGGCAAATTTTTAGTTACAGAAACATGTTGAGGTGTTTTCCTAATAGGCAGGCTTCCCCAGGTGGGTTTCTTGTGGACAAATGGAGCATGGAGTGCTGTTGATTGATCCCATCTCTGCAGCACTGCCAGGAAGGGCAGCACCCATCTGCTATAAATTGCAGGTTTTTCTGCCTCATAAGAGTCAATGTTGTAGAGCTGCTGAGAACCTAAAGCAACATTTAAATGCAGAAGCAAACCCTGGCTGAGGAGGGGCTCTTAGGTGCTGAGCCTTTTGTTTGCTTCAACACTGAAAAGCGCTGGCTTTGCCTGGACCCCACAGTCTACCTTTAAGAGTACAGGCAGGCGAAGAAGCCAGAAAAGAACTGGGGTTGGGAATGGGGGGCAGGTGATAAAAGCACAGAGATTTAGCTATTTTATACAATTCTCAGAGACTCTGTACAATTATAAATATGATGAATATTCAACAGTTTTGGAAAGAATGAAACACTCCCTTTCCCGACAAGCTAAAGCAGATTTTTTATACTAACTTTTCAAGGGACTTTGTGTTTTAGCAGAAAACTAGGAATAGGTACCAGTAGAGCATGGAAAGCAAAGGGAATCTGAGGCTACACAGATACAAAGACAAAATCCCCCCATGTAATAAGTTGGCACAATTGTGGTCTTCCTCAGAAATGAAATGGGAAAAAGTAAGTTAGCAGTCTATTCTTGTTTTTGATTATAGGATCAAAATTCATGTATTAGCAAATGGCTCTAAAACTAAACATGCATAGGTTTTTACTTGCTATTCATGCAAAGTGACCCCAATTACAGGAGGTGGCATTGACTATTTTAGATATAATAAATTCTCAAACATTTCCATTACAGACAAATTGTAATACAGATATATTGAGTTTTCTGTGTTTTTCATAAAGATAATATTTTCTGTGGCAATAAGAAGCCTTTGTGAAATAAAAATGTACTGCTACCCTTGAAAGAAGGGTTAACTTAGATTTTTATTTCATAAGCAATTGTTTTAAGTGGGGAATCAAATCAAATGTGATTAATAAAGAAAGAAATGTCAAGTGTTACATGCCATCTCTAAAAAACCCCACAAATTCCCACATTCTTAATATTATGAGAGTGTGTGTACCTAAAAGTAATATTTTACATTGTTAAAGACACTTTAGTTTGAAAGGGGAACACACTTTTTCTAAATTAAACAAATGAAAACTTTTTGTGTGTTTGTCCATGTGGTTTAAAACTGCCATTGCTATATGTAATGCACAGTTATCAATTCCTATATATCTGCTAATATTTAAAAATCTGCTCAAGATCTGGGCAGAGGATGCCTTCCTAGCTCATTGTGTGAGGTGATGCTTCTGTTCTTTATAGCAAAGTAAGTCTGAACTCTTCAAAATGTAAGTAGTACAATTTTAAAAATTAATTAGATGTCTTTAATTAAAATATTGAAAACCCAAGATCCCTTTTTTTAAATTTAAATAGTTTGTTAATTCCTTGAGAACTTGATATCTTGCATTTTAATCATTTTAAGCTTTTCATCCCCATCACTTCAATATACTTGTCTCAGAGAATATACAAAATAATTTTCGTTAGTTCTTTTTCTACTGAGGTTCAGCAATAGCTTTTTCTGCTTCCTAAGGTTCTCTGTGCAGCTGCAGGTAGCTGCCGGACCAACCTGTAGCAGGTATAAAGGGGATTCAAGACCAACCTCTCTTCCTGTTATGGGCAAGTCATAGGCTTAGCCTGTCAAGCTGTCATGGGCAGAACCCAAGCTATTGTCTAAGGAGAACACTCTTTTTGTGATGAAGCAAAAGTTATTCATTGTGGTCTATGGGTCATCTTCTCTTCTGAAACTACTCAACTCCTTATAACACAAAAGCTACAATGTAACTAACAATATAAACAAATGAAATTGTTTACTAATAAAACTTTATTTACTCAAAAACTGTCTTTGACTCCTGGTTTCTATTTGTCAGTCTTAATGTACAGAAATGCTACTATTTTTGGCTTTGATGAATTATGCCAACAAAAGTATTTTTAATTGCAAGATTGCTTGAGGGCACCACAAACAGATTAATAAAGACATCAGAAGCATTAACCTAAGAAATTTAAAATAATTTTTAATCTCATTATAGCCTATGAAGCTTGGCCAAAATACCAATGATTTGTTTGCAAATAAAAAAAGAGATAAAGAAACACTATTATAAAATTACTCTACTGTAAGAAACTATACAAAACTCAACCACTCAGAACTCGTTTTTAAGAAATCTAGTTAAGGAAGCACTGCCGTCACCAGGGTATCATGTTTTATTCTTTGTGTAAGGTTAGTGACCCTCTCTGAACAATCAAGATATTAAAACCCATAGGACAAATGGGGATCCAGAAAGCACACATTCCAGCATCAGATTTTAGCAAATCAGGTCGACAGGGAGACCGTACAATTTAAAGATGTACCTTGTGCAAATAAAGGCAGAATAGTAACTAATGTATTCACACCTAGGGAGAATCTTCTGTATTCATACATAGCGCTTATCAGCCTTTTCCCACCAGTCAAGTTTCTACAGAACAAAGGAGATACCTGCTTGTATTTGGGCTGGCTTCCTAAGTGTATGTGCCATAGGGTAGGTGTGAAGATCTGACTACAACTTTAGTTGTTGGTCCTCATCTTCTACCCTGTTTTGGACAGGCCTTCTTGGTTATTTTTCTGTGGTATGTACAAGGCTGACTAGATCCCAAGCTCCCTGGGATTCTCCTTTCTCCACTTCCACCTCCCTTTAGCAGGGCTGAGATGACAGCTGCTCACACCAGATGCTTATAGCTTCTACATGGGTTATTGGATTTTAACTCTTCATGCTTACATGGCAAGCTACTTGGTCCATGGCGCCACACAGAAGACAGGCTTCTCTGTCCTACTCTCAACTACTTACTTTACACATCTCTGTTTATATCGCTCTGTTTCCCAAACTCCATTTTTTTAACCAGACAACCGCGTTTATTTGCATGATCCTAGGATCCACAACCTTCCTAACAATGGTAGGGCCACTGTGGGCTACTTGCAGCCACTTAAAATTTAGTGCTAAAGGAGAGGAGATTCACCTCATTATTTTGTATTAAACCCTCACTACTTTCTAGCCTACCCATCACATAATAGAGGTCTGTATTGGCGAATAAAATGAATGCTAAAAATATAATAATGCCAGTGGGGTGAGAAAAACCACACACTCTCCCCAAATCTCCAAGAATAAAAACCTGTTCTTTTGATTAATTATCTCACAGCCATCATTCTTCCCCTGTATACAAGACAATGAAATTAATGGATTTCCCAGGTTGAGGCTGAGAATTTTGCAGTTGTACCTACCTGAAGGAAACAGTGACTAAATTACTTTTATTATTTTTTTTTCTTGCAACAGACATTTATTAAAACTTCCCTTTCTCACCACAGGCTGTTAAAGTGCTGATTTAGCATTGTTTCTGACCTCTCGTTCTTGTCTTTCTCCATTAATCCCACAACATTTTAATGTTTTAATTCAACACATAATTTTACCATATCAGTCAGCCTAACTGGCCCAACTTTGACTTGCCGTGATAGCTTTTAACTTCTTCTTCATTACCATAATTCCATGTTTTATATTACAGATTGGTCAGCTTTTAGCTTAAATGCAAGGGGCAGGAAAGAGTGCTGTAGTTTGAAAAGCTGTAAATCTCAGAGGCTGAGGAAGTGGGCGAACAGGAAGAGAACGGTGAATGTGTCAAGCCTGGCTGTAAAAGCAGATCAACGACATGGGCTGCAATTTGTCCAGAGAAATATTCCAGCCCAGATTGTTCACTGCCTCAAAGCCACTAATAAACTGGTAAGGATGTCAGAGCCACTTTAAGATACCATCTGGGACCGAGGACTGACTATGAGGCAGATCAAAACAGGAGTATGCATCCTCATTCTCAACCTTTGCAAACTAAGTTTAGAATATTCTGTGAAACAGGAGTCTTTCCAATCATCCTGAAATGGAATGTATCCATTAAGAAAATGATTTCTTTGAAACAGCACAAAACGGATAATTTATATTCATCTGTTCTTTATATATATATATATATATTTTTTTTTTTTTTTCATTAACAACAGAGGCTGGAGGATGGCTAAATGGGTGAAATGATTACCATTCCAGCAGGAAGATCCTCGGCACACACATAAAAGTGTTCATCACTCACTCTGTGCTGGGGGCCCCACTCAGGAAGACTCCTAAGCTTCCTCCTCTGCTTGTATTGGTAGTTATATTGTAACATACTGGGGATGGTTACTCTTGGACTTAAGTCTTTCTTTCTTTGAAAGTTCCCTCCCTGCCTCAGATCTGATGATTTCTTTTTATAGTTGCTTTTCCTATAAAAAACCAGTAAGTTAGGCAGCGTGTCCTCAAGGAAGGCTGGCTCTTCTGAAAGCATTTTCATCTTTGAGGTTCCATTTACCCCGTCATCTTTACCTGAAGGTCAGATAAAACCCATGAGTGTGTGTGCTGTGGCAGAAGAGAAGTCAGACTCCAGAGAGCCTCAGAACATAGATGCAGGGAAAAGTTAATCTAAAGACTGCTATCATTTGTGTGAGCCCAGCTCCTATAAGCAAATTTATTCCATCTGTAAATCCTGAATGGTACTACTGTTCATACTCCAGTAAGTAAATATTCTTGAACATGGCCCCTGTTCACTTATACAAAAAAAAGAAAAAATTAAGATCTATATTTTGAAAAACATACTGAATTTTACTGGTTATACTTAATTTACCAGAATCAAATAATTTTCATTTAAAATATTATAAAGATCTGTACTTGCCAAATGCAGAAAAATGCCAAAATTAATGACAGTAATGTAATGCTCACTGTAGATAATGTCTATGGATATCGCTACAGTTACTGACTTGAATGTTGGTAATGGACTCCATTATACAGCCAAAGAGAAAGACACACAACGAGTTCATTGCCAAAATCGCATAGTAACTCTTCCTCCACACACAACCCCCGTGATGTGTTTCTTCCCCGTATCAAACGATTTACAATGGGAAGCTTTACCAAGGAGATTTTCTTTAGTGGGGTTTCAAGGTATCAACATGACTGTGTTCTCCAAAATAAGATAGAAGCTGGACTTTACGAGACAGTGAGCATTTGTTTACACTGCTAGAGAGTATTCTATTTTGGATAGTTGAAGTAAGAATAGCTAAGCCTTAGAGTGAACACTACAAAAGAAAGAAAACTTTAGGAGATAAAAGTGTTGAAATTCAGGGCTGGTAGGGTGGCTGCTTGGGTAAACAGCGCTTTGAATGTATTTGTGGCCAAGCTTTATGAGCTGAGTTCGAACCTATGAATCCACGGTGGAAGGAAAGAGTCAACTCCTGAAACTTGTCCTTTGGCCCTCACATGAATGACTTGATACATGCACACCTGCAGACACATGCACGCTCACACACTCAGCTAAGTGATTTTTTTAGTTGACATTTTGAGAAAATGCAACTCATAAGAAAGGCCTACCAGTAAGGCCAGGGATAACTGCATGCTAATACAATGGTTTGTTTGTTTTTGTTTACAAGACAGGGTTTTGCTGTGTAGCCTAGGCTAGCCTCAACCTTCACGATCCCCACTCCTGAGCCTCCTGGGTAGTAGGGTTACAAACTTCAGACACCTTTTTCTGCTATGGTATGTCAATCATTAGATCTGCGAAGCGGTATTCTATGCGAGTAAAGACCTCATGTTCATTGCCAGGCAATGCTGCACAGACCCAGGTCTCTCAGGAGACATTTTTGTTATCTCTTGTATTGCCGGAGGGGAAAAAGGAAAAGGATGCCCAAAAAAGAAACAAAACTCCTTTCCAATCCATAAAGAGGAAGGGCAGAATGATCAGCAGACAGGTAGGCATCTCAGTTCTAAACAGGAAATTGCTAAAATAATAAATGAATACTCAAATGACAAAAAAAAAAAAAAAAAAACAGGCCATACAGGACGTCTTCAGTTATTTTTTGTCTCTGAGAAGCCACACAACACTCACTTGGAACAAGCATTTCCTATTGTGTGACGGAAACATGACAATGCAGTGACATGAGACATGCAAGGCATTATTATTTACACCTACTAAAATAACCGCAGGCCATTCATCACAGGAGGCCCAAATACCCACTGTGCAGATAACACTTTGGGACGCAGAGTTCTCTGGGCTTCCTCACTTAGCCTGGGTCCTGACTTTCTGATCCTACTGCCCTTGATACTGTCAGGGCTCTGGCATGTCAGCAAGCTGAGGATGTTAGAGGCACCGGGAAATGTCTGAGGCATTTCAGTTCCCATATGTGGTCAGGGGAGAGAGGAAAAAAGAAAAAAAGCAAGATCAGACTAGTAACTGGACATGAGAGACTGTCAAACACCAGCCCACGCCTCCTGGATGTGAGGTGTATGGCATGACCCAGCTTGCTATGCAATGCACCCAGATGGCCCAGCGGACTTAACAAAGCCAAGAGTGCTGCCCACCAGACAAGGCAACTGAGGATGCATGAGAAGAACTGGAAGGCAAAGCCCGCTGTGTTGGGCAGGTGTGGGGTGAAAGGCATCTCTACGTCCCTGCCATAGCTCTGGCTGTCTGTTCCCTTAGCGGGCACCTGGCCATGCATAACGGAATGTGGTCATTGTGTGCAGAGGCACATGCCTGTTTCCATGTAAATGTGGGAAGTGATTGGCGTCAGATGGACGAGAGCCAGTCTGCTACAAGTATCTTGTTACATGCCAGGGAATACCATGCAACAGGAAAGCCGTGTTGAGAAGCAAGGGAGGATTTCTGTGGCTGCTAAGTTCTCATTGCAGCTACTTCAGAAGGATGAGATGCAGATGACAAGAAAGGCGAACACGGCACTGCAGGGTTCCACACTCTGCACTAAGAGATGCCCAGAGAGAGACCATTTTCTGAAGGATTGCCACATCTCCCCCTGAACTTTCACTGTTCTCTCTATAGTCCCTCACTGTTAAATAAATGGGTTGGAGCAGGTAAGTTATTTTAATCTTTAGTTTTGAGTAATAAGTCCTTGTCCTTGGCTGGAGTCCTAAATATCAAGGTGTACTGGCTGCATAGGAAGGTGAAAGCGCTCTCTCATCTATCAGCCATGGCTCAGCACACAGTCCTGAGCTCAGGCTCCAGGCTGGAAGCTGACAACCCATAGCTGCTGGCATCCCTTTAAACATTTGTGTTCCACATTTAAGATTCATATACAAATTATGGATCTAGGGGAAGGGGGGGGAAAAGAATGATTTGCTGCAAAGAATAGCATCCTTAAAGCCCCAAACCCTGGCTCTGGAATTCATCGTTCTTGACCCAAGGACAGCTTGTTCTCCCTAGCTTGCAGGGCTCTTCTGCTTGAGATCAGAGCTAAGATGAGCTCCTGCGAGTACTTCCTTTGTGCATTCTACAGGCCAGGCATAGAGCTGGTGATGCAACTGTATTCCTCACTACAATCTTCTCAAGAAACTGTACTTCTCACATTATTATTGGCTGCCCATGGGGACCCCTCAATTCAGTTGTTAAGAGTCCAGAGTAAACAAATAAACAACAGAATAGCTTTGCAACTGCTTCAGATTCTATGATAGTTTGTCACAAAAATCCATCAAGGACATTGAAATGTTCTGTCATGGGGAACAACTCACCTTCTTCTTCTTTACTATTTGGTGAAACTAAAATGAAATCTTGGAAATGTTTGCAAATACATCCCAATGGTCTGAGATAGCACACAACCTTCTATGGAGGTTTCTGGACTCACAGACTGCAGTGGGCCCTTTGAATTCACAGAGTCTACTTGCATGAATCCAATCAAGGAATATGCTCTGAAGAATATGCACACAGTAACCTCATGAAGGCATTCTAGGATCTAACAACCACTCCACATCTTCTACATTATGTGAGGTATTGTTAGTAACCCAGAGTCAAAGCATGTAAGATGTACAAATATCTGTGGTATTTGAATGCGAATATGATACCATTTCCCCTGCCCTCTGACCGCTGAGTATGCTATCCTCATCGTGAGTTCCTGAAATGAGCTTTTCATAGATGAGTAGGAAACGCTGTCTTCTTATGTGTAAAGCCTGTTGTGAATACTGAATTGCATTTACCAATCAGAAAACTAACAAACCCCCTTTTTGCACGGAGTGGCTGCCCAGCTTACTGCTGGGCCATTGGGGCAGGATACGGGTGTCCAAGTCTCAACCCAAATTAAAAAAAAGACATTCTTTCAGAGCTAGCCCTGTGCAGTCAGGAGCTCCCAACCCCAGTAGTAGCAGAGTGACTCACGTGCCCAGTCGCTCCTCGCGCTTTTTGCTGTCCTTTCCCCACACTTCAATGTCCAAAATGCCCATCCTGTCAGAGAAGTAGTGAAAGTCAAACTGTTCCTGCCACTGCGGGTTTGCACTCTTACACAGTGTCTAGAAAACATGCAGTTACAGGGTTTACTTTCTCAGAAGATCGGTCATGGCTACAGCAGCTACACATTCATGTCATGTCTACAGGGCAGGAAGTCACCGCGATCGGATTGCTCTCTTAGCATGATACGCTTAACTTCTAGGATAGCAGGGACCCTTGTGGACCCAGGATTCAGCAAACTAGGACTACTCTTTTTTGACAGTTTTCCCAAATGCAACAATTTTAAGTGCATCAAGTTAAAAAGACTACCGCAAGACACTGTAAAAACCACGCAAGCACACAAAGAGCCTGCAATTGCTCATTCCTACAGAAGATAACATTAACTGTTCAGTCAAACGCAGGCAATGTCTGTGTTGGTGTATATCAGACCTGGCCTAAGCATCAAATGAATTAACACTTTGTGGGCTTAAGTAACATCTTTTGACACGTTAAACAAAAACTCTGTAATACGTGATGACACATAATCTGTCCACTTTTAAGTCCAAAGATAGTAAATCCCAGTGCTACGGCAAAGAGTAAACTAGAAAATTCTACTCCGTCATGCTTGAAAAAATCAACACGAATTTTAGAAAAATCACAGACAGGTTTTAGAGCTTTTTAATATGACCAAATCGCCCATGAGATGGCTTTGCTGGCAAGATCTCTACTGTTCTTTCTCTTATAGATTATTTTGTGAATAAATATTTCAAGCATTAATGACTGGGTCTGGGCTCTAAGGCCACAGGCCAACTCTTAAAACACCACCAAACTACTCCCACACAAGAAAAAAGCATGGGCAGTTTTACACCTCAGCTGTTGTCATGTCATACAAACACATTTGAGCTGGACTTGGATACCACCTTTGTCTTACTGGATCATAGAATTTAGATTCCAAGAAGGAAAAGATGTCTCAGAAATAAAAATTTAGCACAGCGTCTCCCACAAGGAAAGTGCACTCTACCCTTCGCCTCCGACTGAACAGCCCAGTGTTCCCAGGGGTGGACAAGCTTTCCATAAATCCTGACGATGACTGGCTAAAGACTTCTCCGTAGAGGGAAGTGACCGTTCCTGTATACTCAGGGCCAGGCTCTGCCTACAATGATCTACCTAAAAGGATGATCTACATCTTTCAGATTTCACTCATGCTCTCTTTTCCTTTTTTATTTTGTTTATTTTTTTTTAAATATACTCTTGTTTGCTGTGTATCTTGTCTTCCCACTCTTTCATGCTGAAGTGAAGGTTGTCTAATTGTCTAATCTTGAATTTTTGCACTGAAATTTGGGCAGCACGCAGCCTCTTGCCTTCTTGTCTCCCTTTCCAAGTTGTTTTCCTGGATGACAAGAAACCCCAGTGCAAATATCTTTGGGTCTGCTTTTAAAACCTCCTAGGATTTCTTTTTTATTTTTTTTAATGTGGATTCTTGCAAGTGGCATAACTTTCAATTACCATAGCAACTTTAACTCATAAAACATGCAAAATATTTCTATCTGATAGTTATAAAATAGTTACATAAAAGATAAAAACTAATTAATTTCTGTTATTTGAAAATGATGATTTTTTTAGTTCAATCCACACCAAATTACTAAGATTAAGAACTGAATGAAGTTTAGATTGGCTGGATTGAATCAGACAATTTATGTGTACAAAATAGTTCAAACAGTTAAGAATATGGAATTTTTTGTTATTATTTTATATAGGTTTTTTTTGTTTGTTTGTTTGTTTTCCTGTTTTGTTTTGTTTTGTTTTCCCAGAGAGGAAGAAAAAAAAGTAGCAAGACCCAGAAATACCACATATCTTGTTTGGTGTTAAGGCTAAAAAGGAAAAGATAAAACAGGACCTACAATGTTGAAACTATTTTTACGTATCTCCAACATTTTAATGTTCTCACGTCGTATGCTGCTTTGTTTTAGAGTGATGAAGAACATTCATCTACCCTTTTCCTGCTGTCTATGAAGCCCACGCTGCTTACTCTCAAACTAAAGATAAGCCATGTATCCAGAACTATCCTTTAATAAGCTTTCCCTGCCTCTGAAGTACACGGGAAAATAAATTATACCAAGCATCATAGTTTAAGGCATCAATACATTTGCTTTGTTTTCTATAGGGCTATTTTTAACACAGTTGAGTAGAGGCTAAAAATAAGTGGCCTTTACTCTTAAGAAATATAGGGTAAGAAATGTTTACATCTTTATTGGTCGGAAGGATGACATTCTCTGTGGGATTAACAGAACTTACCTTGCTTTTGTACCTCTGGTCTCCCAGTTTTAACTGGACAAACATCTCTGTCATGTTCCCTCCTGAGACATTCTTCCCTTCCAGCAGTGTTATACTTATAATCCCATTCCAGAGTTGGTTCTTTCTCAGGGACTCTGAGAGCCGTAGGTTGCGCATGAAAGAGGCCTATAAACAAACAAACAAACAAACAAGCAGATAATGTTGGTTGCTCTTGAAAGAGAATCTGGTAGACTCAGGGATTCCAGCTCTCCCTGTTGTAGCCTGAAGTCATTCCCAGCTTTGGGGAAAAGCATTATTTTTCTTGAAGTTTGCAAATCCATGCTCCAGTTCTGTGACTTGCTTCCAATCCAGCAAAGACAGGCACGAGCAACATGTGGATTTGGCTCTGCTCTGTACTCCCACTCTGATGAGCTCTTTTATAGAAATCCTTGAGCTGGGTTTTGGCTATTTGACTAGTTGGAAGGGAGGAAAGGCACTTTTGAAAACAGAGCTCTAAGGGACAAAACGCTTTTGGGGATCTTGCAATACTGACTGTGGATTTATCTGTCACATTTAAATTTATCCTATCTCCCCCTCACTCTTCAGGCTAGTATTAAAGAAGCTCCGTGACACTGTGAGAGGAGCCACAACTCCAGTGTAGCTTACAGTGACCTAGCTAGCCAAATAAGCTGTGTGGCTCTAGAGGGTGAGGTGTGAGAGGGTCTGTTGACAAGGGGGGGGGGGGAGATAAACTATATCTCAGAGTCCCTGAAGCCCAGAAGAACTAAGAAACCCTTAACTTTTATAGGCTTAAACACAATATAGAAAGAAGACAAATATCTATTATTAAATGATAAAGATGGTGGCTGTCCTTTTTCTAATACCCATTATATGATTTTTAAGCTTTGGAATAAGTAGTAGAAACAATCTTCATATCCTGACTCACTAATTTCACCATTCCACCAACTTTCATTTCATCTCTCTCTTCATAGGTTTATCTCACTAAAACATTTTAGAGAAAAATACACATTTATTTTTATAAAACCCACATGCCACAATTACTCTCACCGCAATGAACCATCATCCCGTTGGCATTGTTCAAAACCTTGTGAGGTTCTCATGGCCCTAACTTCTTAATGGTCTCTCCAGACTTAGCTGTTTTGAGATAGGATGTCCACCTGATCTACAGGCTGCATTTAGTTGGCAGAGTTCATTTCCAAATTCTGCTTGATTAATGAATTGGAAAGAGCATATAGAGCTTTCTTTAGGGGAAAGAATCACTGGACTGAAGAATGTAAATGGAACTGAGTATCAGAAGAAATCAATCCATTGCTAACCCTGTGTAGCCATTCATATCATCTGCATCCTATGTCTTTGTGGTCACTTGGACACCAGTTTGCTCAAACACCAGGCAGTCACAATTTATCCTAACTAGTAGTCAGCGAGGTCCACATTATTAATATATCATCCACCATCCTCAGGAAGTGATGTGCCAATGGCACTCTGAGTATTTTGCTGAACATTGTATGGTAACCTTAAACAAAATTACTTGTATGAAAAGATGTGCTCCCAGCTTTTATCCATGATCATAAGGATTTTCTTCCATGCATGTATTAGAAAAGAGAGAGCGAGAGAGAGCTAGAGAGAGAAATACTAATGCAGGCCAAAACATGCAATTGGAAAATAATTAAATCTGAGAGAAACTCTTCTTCCCACCCTCCCCCCTGCAAAAAAGGATCATTTCTTAATGCCTAACTGTTATTTGGTCTTCTATACAATATATTCAATAATAAAAGATGCAAAATATTTTAAAATAAATGACTTTGTTAAAATCACATCACAAAAGCAGCACATAATACAAACATACATTTATGTGTGTCCGCATCTACAGATGTGCATAAAAACACAGAATATATACTTACACATTTTATAGCTTATTGCGTGCATGGGTTGAAATGTCTGCCTTTAAAAGAAAAATGAGATTTTGACTCATAAGTCTTGCTGTAATTCCCTCTTTTGCTGTCTTTTCCTTCTTAAAAGTTTGACTTCTAACCAACAGGCTAAAGCATGACCTGTCCCACGACCATGCTTCAAAGTCCCGACAGATATATTCCTCCCTCAACAGTGCAACTATTTCAAAATCCCTTTTCTAAAACAGGGAGTAATGTCCACAGAGGATCAAAGGGCATCCTGCAGTCTGGCAATTGCCTAAGAAAAATGGCAGCATGTCCATGAAATATGTCCTAAAATAATTTTACAGTGCGGTATGTCCTAATTTCAAATTGGGTGTTTATCTTGGAAAGGCCTCTATCTAACTTGTCCATAAAGCAGCCCCACTTAGCTCCATGAGCTCTGTGAAAATGGAATCCAAAGCTGGTTATTAAGGGGGCTGGAGATGGGTTCCATATGGCAGAGCAGCATGGGAGGGCAAGGCTGAGGCCTGCATCAGGCACCACTTGGCTGAAGCTCCTGATCTATCCATGGACACTCGTTGCGTTATACTGTAACATCTGGATTATGGCTTGTAATGTCCCTGGGAAATATCCTCTTTCCATCAAAGCCTTTATCTATCTCAGTAGGACTTTGAACATTTCAGTATTTAACACAGTCATATTTGATCTGATAGACTTGCTCATTCACTGGCCAAGGTTTCTTTTCTTTTCTCCCCCCTCCCTCTTAAAGGCAGGGTGGAAGAAGAGAAATATTTATTACAGAGTTCACATACAGGAAAGAAAGTAAGACTTTTATTTTACTTATCTGACCTCAAAAAAACATTTTGCTTGCAAACCCCACATGCTATGTACTTGTATATGATCTAAGGACACTCTTTAAACTTCCTTCAGCATTTCTTCCCCAAAAGAAGAGACAGAGCATGGCAGAACCAGGCATCTAGTGTGTGCCCTACAGCACAGCCAAGTTAGTGAAATCTATTTTGTTCTTCAACATCGCCTTTTTCCCCACAATAAATTGACTCATCTGCACTCGGTTAGCTGAATAGCTAGGGTTTTCATGTCTTTGTTCCTGCCTATAAGGGAAATTTGTCATCTTAATGCAGCCTGGAATACGATAGGAGAGGAGGAAATGACCCATCAAAGGGGAAGCCCACCCCACCTGAGCTGAAACAAACACCAGCTGATAGAGCAAAGTTTCTGGGTCCTGACCCTAATTCCTCCACAGACAGGAGGGATAAAATATAGTGTATCAGGATTATGTCATTTCCCTCCTCCCTTCCCAAGGATCAGAACCTTTTAGTATTTCTATGTGACCCATTCATCTCTCTCCGTCTGGGACCCCACTCCATAGGATCCGCACTCACTCTTCTAAGAAAGAAAAAGTGATGTCCATTGAAAGTGTACACATCAATTATTAATAGAAAAATAGAAACAAGGTGTGATACTCAGCTTATTAAGCATACTGATTTCCCTGCAAACGAAGCAACTTTCCAAAGATTTCTTAACTTCTGAGTCACAATAACCCCACAACCAGAACTCAGCGGGAAGAAGCAGAGTCTGTGTGCTACGGAACTTCTGCTCATATCAAGTAATGCCAAGATTCACTTCAGGATCTCAAAAGGCTCTCATACAGGAATAGATGCTCAGAGTGACTGTATTTATACAGGGTTTATACTGTGGCTTGCAGCCTGTTGCCATTAAGTGGTAAGTGAAAACACAAGCTCAAGGCAGAATGTCGAGCTGGGAGCTAAGAGGTCAGTTTCCAGCCTTCAACAGCAAGACTCCATTCAACTGTCCCCTCACCCCCACCCCCCACCCCCCACCCCCGGCAAACTGCAGGATGGAATGCGCAAATAATTACCAGAGAATTAAAAAAGAAGAAGAAACAAAGGAGGAAGGAAAAAGGAATGAGAGATGAAGGAAGACAGAGGGGCTGATGTGACGGTTCAGTGGTGAAGAGCGTTTGTTTCAGAAGCACACTCAGCACATCATCCACACAAAAAGACAGCCAGGGCTGAGTAGCCAAAATGCTAGTGGTGTAGATGAAGATGGAGACATCAAAATGGCTGCAGCTTGACTGCCAGGCCAAAGATTAGCTCCAGGATCTGTGATACACCCTGTCTCAAGAAATAAGGCAGAGAGTGGTAAAAGCAGGACAACCAAGGATTTCCTCAGATCTCCACACGGGCACACACAGCCCACTCACACACATATGAACACATGCTACATATATATGTGTATATATACCTATATACACACATATATGTACCACACAAAATAAGCAAAGTAACAAGTAAAAACAGTGACAAGTGTGGGAACATGAGATGTGAAATAATGTATAATACATTAATTTTTTCAGTGGTGGCAGTGTAAGAGCCTCGTGTTGCCGACCTATCCTATTTGTGACCTATTCGTTATGTTTCTAAAGTCTCTGTGACAACACAGATAGCCAGCAGAAGAAAATGCATGAAAAAAAAAAAAATTCAACCACCTGTGTTTGAAAATTGACTAGCCAAGCAGAGCTCCAACTCCATTGGCCATTTCTTGGCAGGGCTTTGAGGACAAGCCCTCAGTCTATAAAAGGCTTCACTGAAATATTCCTTTCAAGTGTTTTCAACATGTAAAACTACTGCTTCCTGTCAACAGCTTTACAGCCCAGTGAGAGCAGATCCACGTATCTAGGGAACTAGCTTCCAGAACAGGCCCCCTCTGCAGCTCCCTACGTCATCAAAGAAGGTCTTAGGGCCATCAGCTCTGCCAGAACCACACAAAATCCTCACATATTGTTAAAAAGAAAACTTTCTACGTTTCCCACACAAACATGCACATGGAAGATGAGATTTATATTTACAGTTGTACTTGTATCCAAAGTTCCAACTATACAAACATTGCATGTAGTTATAAAAGTTCTGTATTCATTAAGTTCCCTTAGTAATAAAGAAATATCAAAACTCATGTTTTATATGGGAAAATAAAAACTCAATTAAAAGATTTAGTAAATAGACAGGGACTATAAGTGCTCTCTAACTCTCTGAATTTAGGACAAGAAAAATACATTTTCTATTATTAGCAGGGTAAAAAGGTAAAGATCACGTGACCCATAAGGTTATTTCTTTGACATGACCTCTGGGGGAGCTCAATCATTATACTGCAATAGTTATAATACTTATTTTTTATGTCAACTGCCTTGGACTTTAAGTCTATTATATAAGTTTTTCTACTTATTGACCTAAT